AATGATGAGTAAGACAGATAACGTTCCTGCCCTCATAGTGCTTGAAGAGTTAGAAGTTGTCTAGCAACGGATAAACAAGCTCAGAGGGGTAGTCATGCCGGGAGGGGCGTGGCTTGTGTGAGTGAGAAGAGAGCACCGGGGCCCAGAAGGATGGAGAAAGTAGGTTCTGATGAGGCGGCTGGTGAGTGCCCTCTCGGAGCCAGGCTGCAGAGGGTGTGAGGAAAGAAGGTCTCAGAATCAGATATGCAAACACAAGGCAGGAAGGACTACAGACCTTTCAAAATTAAAGGGGAGATGTATCGAGACTTGAAATTGGAGAGGAGCAGGTCCCAAACATCTGGGACCCACAGGCAACACGCGAGGTTTTTGTTTCTACCAAGTATAGTGGGAACAACTGATGATTTCAAGTGGGGAATTACAGAAGACTATCTGGATTTTAAACTGTCTTTACTGCCACAGTTTCAAAAGCCTCCTAAACGTTTTGGCGCCCTTGACCTAGCTAGCTGTGTGCTGAAGTTGATGGTTCCCGTCTCACAATGATGCCTATTTTTTTTTTTTTTCTAGACAGGGTTTATCTATTGTTTTGGAGGCTGGCCTCAAACTCACAGAGATCCCTCTGCCTCTGCCTCCCGAGTGCAGGGATTAAAGGCATGCGCCACCAACTCCCGGCCAATGATGCTTTTTTTTAAATGTCTTTTTTTTAAATTATTTTTAAATTTAAATTAGATACAAGGTTGTTTCACATGTCAATCTCAGGTCCCTCCCCCTCTCCCTCCCCTCCTCCCACGCCCTCCCACCAACCCCCCATCCTCCCTCCCCAATCCCCACTCCTTTACAACGATGCTTTTAAGTTACAAATATTCTGAAACAGGTATAAAGTATTTTAGATAATAGCATACCTCAAAATTTTTTAAAAAAAAATATATCTAATATGGTTGTAGATATGCTCCTTTATTATACAGTGTCTAATTCCATTCCTATAAACACAAAGTCTATAAATACAATGTTGAGATATGAAGATACTGTAATATGACTGAGAGTATCTGATTCTATTGACTGACTGACTCACCTATGCAGCTCACTCTAGTACCCATGTTTATATTGAAAAAAAAATGATAAATTTCCACTTGACATTAGAGAAAATAAAGTAATAATTTTTATCATCAACATTGGTAAGCCACTCTTTAAATTCTGTCTGCAGGCCCACTGGGCCAATCAGAACCTAGTTAATGACTTTTTATATAAGCAGTTATTTCAGTTGTCACAGAGAAGGTGGAGCTTCAAACTATGGAGATGACAGCAAGGACTCTAAATGTAGGCTATTTTGGGAGGATGAATCAACAGGACAAGAAAGATAGAGACTATTCTAAAATTCTGAGAAAAATCTCCACCGACCAACCGCCTAGGAATATAAAAGAATTTGTGTGCAAAGTGTTAGAAAGGATAGCCCCAAAGCTTGAGATCTAGGTGGGACGTCACATAATTTATACTAAGGCAAGGGACACAAGTGACAGTCTAAGTAGAGTTTAGGTCAGGAACATGAGCATTCACAATTGGCTCTTCCTGAGCTGAACCCAAAGCTGAGCACTCACCCTGTGAAGCCTAGAACCCACACACCCACACCGAGGACAGTACTGGGCGTGACAGCACACATCCGTCTCCCAGTGTCCCAGAGATGGAGACAGCAGGATCCGGAGTTTTACACCAGCCTGAGCTACATAGCAAGGGCCAGGGCAGCATGGTAAGATCCTGTCTGAGAGAGAAAGACAGAGAGAGAGAGAGAGAGAGAGAGAGAGAGAGAGAGAGAGAGAGAGAGAGACAGAGACAGAGACAGAGACAGACAGAGACAGAGACAGAGAGAGAGACAGAGAGAGACAGAGACAGAGAGAGAGACAGAGAGAGAGAGAGAGAAGCATGAGGATATGAATAGCCTGCAGACGCACATACTGCTCTGCGGATTAAGTACAACCCTTGGTATAAAGAGATTTACATAGTTTTGACACATAGAAAAGGCCACAAATTATCAGCAGTTATCCTAGCTGTTAACAAGATTCTGACATTGTGTTGGATTATCATTCACAGGAGAGTACAATGCAGTTGAGGAAACAAACTATATGATATATTTTGGAAAGGAAATCATTTATTCATATATAAACTGTGAGCAGTTCCATGTTATTACTTTTTCCCACTCTAGTATCCTCTGTGTCATAAAAAGCACTTTGGGGACTAGAGATATGACTTGGTGGCTACCAGCACTGGCTGCTCTTCCAGCAGACCTGGGTTTGGTCTCGGCACCTGCGTGGCAGCTCACAACAGTCCGTAACTCCGGTCCCAGAGGACCCAACGCCCTTTTCTGGCCTTCTGGAACACTACACACATGCACACACATAAAGCGAAAATACAATCTCAAAAAAGGAAGTGCTTCAGAAATTTTATGCCGTGTGTTTGTGTGTGAGCATCGTGAGTGAGTAGGTATGGATGGTACCAGATCTCTTCCCAACAAATGTGACTTCAGTATTGCTGTTTTTACAATCTCTGCTATTTAGTAGTTGAGCTCCTGTTTAATGACTATTGCTCAAATAAGCAAAAGTCATGACAAAAAAAAAAATGGCAACAGTTCCTCCTCAAAGTCTGACGTCTGTCCTCGTTTCAGGGAGCTAAGCCTAGAGTGGGCCATTTCCGCCTTTGGAACTAGCTGGGCGTTTGCATGCAGATAACTACAGCCTAGTGGAGTCCTAGTTCTTCTTCTGCCATAGATTTCTGCCCGAGGGTGAACAAACTCAGGACACCTGCTGATCCTCCAAGTTTCATCTACAGAAGGCAGATAGTGATTTTTACTAAAGCCTTGATGCGTGTAGGAAGAAAAAGATGACTCAATGGAACAAAATGGGGAACAATAAAAATATTCCACAAGTACCATAATGTCTATTAAAGAGATACATCAGGAACAAATATACTATACCACACAGTTCCTCCCTTAAGTTCATGTCCACCTAGACTGTAACGGGGTATTTATAATCAAGTTACTAGCAGGTAGGGCAGACACTAACACAATGGCTGAGGGGGTGTGAACAACAGAGAGGATGCCATGTAAAGACTTCTGGAGTGTTCTGTATGCAAACCAGGGAACCCTAAAGATCACCACAACCACTAACAGTGGCATGGAGCAGATTCTCCCTCAGAGGGTTGGGTACCAACCATGCTGACACCTTAATTTCAAACGTCAGGTTTCTAACACTGTGAGAGAATGTACTACTTACTGCTGCTTGAAGCCACGAGAAACAGATAATGTATCAATGTTTATATCCGAGCCAAAGTAAGCTGGGCTTCCTGCCAATGATCATGTGTCCTCTTCCCCTGTTCTTTGGACTTCCAGCACAGGTATACTTCCCATTCCTACTACAGAGCAAGAGAGATTTTAACATGATGTCAAGAACAAAATAGGTTTATGATTATAGAGATCTTTCCTAATCAGATCAGCTACCACTCCACACCGTGTCACAGTCGTCATGACCTAGGGAGTGTCGGTCTGGAATATTGCATCTTCTGTGGTATCATCTGTGGCAAAGAAAACAGAAAGAAAAAAACTGAGCATTTATTGACTGAAAATATGAAATTGGTTTCCATATGCAACCTTTTAATGGTAAAGTTGTTACGGCTGTAAGTGATGGGAGTCTAATCCACTTGGTCCTGAAGCAAGGACCAAAGCAAGGTCCATTGATCCATTCATGGGAACCTGTGAACGGATGAAGGGAGGTCCTAATTATTGCATCACACAGATAGCGTAGCCAAGGAAAGTGCTTGACAAGACATGCATTCATTCTCCTACCCCAAAATGATTGCTACCAATTCTGCTCACATCTCATTGGCCATAACAAATCACTTGCAGTATAACCAAGTCTGACAGCGCTGGGTGGATATATGGGCCCTACCTGTGGTGAGGAACATGGTGTATTTTTAGCCCAAGTCTTAGGGAAGATTATACTTGCAGTAGTCACTGTGAGAGACTGTCACACCCTAGAGTGGTGGTGTTTTCATGAGCAAATGTCTTCGGGAGTGACCTTAGCACAAGTACACCGTATCATATAAGAAACTAACGACTGACTTTATGTTTCTGATTCCAAGTGGCATTCTTCTGGGAGGTCACCTACCTCATCCCCAGATGTAAGATTTATCTCTAAATTAAATTTAGCTCCCCAAGTAACAAAAATGTGCAACAACCACAAAGAAAGCACCACTGGCAACTCCTCCAGCACTGGGAGGGAGAAGCTCAAGGGATGAGCAGCCTATCATTTCCAAAAGCAGGGAAGAACATCTGCTGGGGACCACACATGAGATGCTGTAATGTACATGTTCTGTACCACATGATGTCACCTTGTGTGTGTACGTGTGTGTGTGTGTGTCCGTGCACACGCACACGCACGTGTATGCTTGAAGCTGTGCCTCCTGGGTAGAAAGGGATACCAGCCTGGCTCTGTCATTCCTAGCAGAATTCCAAAAGCAGGGGCACAGCTATAAATATGTAGATGTGTAGATACCTTATATATGTTATCTGTAAGATGTATGTTATCTACAGATCTATAATAGCAGTGGCTGCCCTGTGTGGAAAGCTTCCTGTATGAAAAGTCCTGGATGTCTTTCCTGGGTTTTCTCCCTTGTGCAATCCTTGCCACTAGGGCACAGAAGTAGGAGGGGGTTGGCACTTGCACAGCCCTGATGTTGAATGACTCTTTTGGCTGAGGCCCTAAGTTTGAGGCTCTTCTGCTTGATCCCCATCGGCTGGCAACAGTCCTGTCAGCCAGGTGTCATTGGTACCTTGTCTGCAGATCAGGAAGCCTATTGAGCTTATGAGTGTCTCCTTCACTTTCATTCTTTGGCTCCAAGTGGTTAGCTGGATGAGCCCCAACGTGGTGGACCCCAAAGCTTGAGAGACTACACCAAGGATGTTTGGGTCCATGCCTGTCTGTCACCCTTCCTGATGTTTCTGTTTTCCTTCGTAGGTGTCCAAGGCTGCTGCGGACTTGATGGCCTACTGTGAGGCACACGCCAAGGAGGACCCCCTGCTGACCCCAGTCCCGGCCTCAGAAAATCCCTTTCGGGAGAAGAAGTTCTTCTGCGCCATCCTTTAAGCCTCTGAGAGGAGGCTGAAGAGCGCAGGGGCTCCTGGGACATTGGTGTAGAGTTCCTAGCAAAGTGGACACCTTTCTCGTCCACAGCTTTTAAAGAGAGGAGAGAGAACCATCCTGGACACTCCGGGCTGTGCATGTTTAAAGAACTGTCCCCTTATGAGAATGGAAGCCGCTTCCACGTCCCAACTTTAGAGATCTGACCCTGCAGACCTGCCTGGAGGAGGGGAATGTATAAAAACAAAATCAGTGTCACTTCTTTTCTGCTACCCTCTAAGACCTTACATTCCGCTTCATATTTAAAAACAAAATAAACATTAGCGCCGGTGTCCTGAGCTGAGGTATGGCTGACCTTCTGGGGATGAGAATTGCCTTTCAAATACCCCTGATTAGCTGTTGTCCCATGTAGCCACAGTTCTGTTTGGTGGCATCCATGTTTAGTCCTCCGTGCATTTTTCTTTCCTCCCCTTTCTCTTTCTCTATCCCTCCCTGTTAGAGTACTGTAGAGATGAGGCTGGGTTTGTGTGTTAGATGAACTCTGAGGATGAGTGAATAGCTGAGGCATTTAGAAAGATGGTCCCCATGGCATTTCTTCATGAGAATTAAAAGAACACGCACACACGCACACTCCCACAATGCCAGCTGTCTGTGTTCTCTTACCACTATTCCTAATACTTGTATATGATAGTTTTGATTCTGCAAGTAAAAGTATATCATGTGTTGTGACGGGTGCTTTCATATCTTTGTGATCGTTTTTTGAATAATACTGCATGAAAATGTCCCCACGTAGCATCCATTCAGAGTTTTGCTGTTCGGCTGGAAAGCTAAGAAGAGAAATGAGAGAGAAAACGATGCCAGAGAGGGGAAAAATCCTCTATTTTGACAATTAAGATCACTTCAGCGCCTTAGCCATGCCTGAAATACCTCCTAGTGAACTGTGGTATAAGCGCCTCGTGACAGATTTTCCCCAGTGGATCCAGGGCAACACGGTTAGCTCACATGGAGACCAGGCAGGGATCCACCGTGACTTAGGAAGGCAATGTCAGAATATCAACACCTTCCCGCTTTCCAGGAACCGTGGAAATCATATGCAGAAGAATATTTTCCATGTTCATAGCTGGAAAACTATGACCCTCTTTAGCTCAGAAGAAATAAACCCCTAGCCTCAGAGGAGGTGGCCACCCCCAGAACACCAGCTGCTTGAGAGACATGTGCCCCAGCACCCTCTGAGCACCCCGGCAGCTGCCTCTTCTTCCAACTGACACGGTCCTCATTTTGTCACTCCCCCAAATTTCAAAGCAATCATGGCTTTGTTCTCTACCCTGTTTTTCAGAGCCTCTCTGCCCTATTTACAGCTTCCTTTGGTTAGCTCTCTCTCTTCCCGCAATAAAACACTGAGTTGTTTTTTCTTCTTTTCACTGCAATTGTAGCCTCCATCAGCAATGGAAGGCCCTGAAAGCCTTTATGTGTTCTGTGTTCTTCCCGGCCAGAGACAGCCTCCTGTACATCGTTTGTTTTCAAATTCTGAAAGACCACTAAAGCCAAGTTTACTTTCTTCCCTTGCCATGGGAGGGGAGAGAAGATAAAAAGACTTCCTCCGTATAGCAAGGACCCATTTTGAAATAGCTTTGGTGAATATTTTTCTTAACTCTTTTTATGGGTTTTCAGTTTATGCCCAAGGTGTGAAGAAGAGGGTACCAGGACATTTATCAATGCATCAATCCAATGTCGTAGCCAGGAGTCCTCTGCTGGTCAGATCTTGGGGGTTTGCTATGGTCAGTGGGACGCCCATGAAGATTTAGTGGCTGAAATAAAAAGCTGTCAGTCTTTGCAGAACTATACCATTGTGCAGCTGAGAATGCTGTGGAACCAGCCAGAAGTGGCGCCCACTTCAAGTGAGCTGAGGCATGAGTCTGTGGTCACATGTCAGCTAGAGGCACTCTGCGGGTGAGGGCATCACTGCGGTGAGAGAGAGGGCGTCACTAGGAAGATTCTGGACTTCTGTGTAAATTTAGACCTCTGAGGCAATTAAAGTGGAGCCGCAGTCCTCAGGGCACACCTTGTACAGGTCCAGCAATTAAAAATTAAGGATTTATGAATTATTCGTGAGCATGCTTATAGAATGATAAGGCAGAAAATGCACTCCCCTTCCAAAAGGAAGTTTCAGGAGAATTTCTTGTCTCACAGTTTCAGGCCCTTCAGTATGGAGCTATAATCAGAATTTGACATATACTGATGTTTGTATTTATTAAGGGAAAGTTTTGTTTGCTTGGGTCTCCAAAGTTAATTCTTTTGGAATGTCAACCATCATTTTCATCATCATTATTTTATCTTAGGGTGACCAATAGGAAAGTTAAACTTATTTAAGACCCTCATTTCTAAATGCCTGGATAATTATTAAAATATGCCATGGAATTAAGAAATAATAAATGTCATATTCATAATACAATGTCTATTAAAATACTTGAGCCATTTTAATACCAACTCCAATTTAAAATGTTTTTCAATCTGAAAGCAAGTAAGATAATTTAAATCATCAAATTTAAAGAAAAATCAAGTTTCATACTTTCCCTCACATGCTTTTATGCACACAATGAATTTTGAGAAAATCAAGTCGATGGTCTTTAGGAGAATTTTATACTTGTTTCCTTTTCCTTAGTGTTTCTTTCTAGCTGTCTTGGAAATGATGGATATTATGTGTATATTGCTGTCTCATAGCCCAACAATTGTTCAGATCGCCACGCTTTTCCTGTATACAATCTATGGAGTGTGTCTTTAAGGAGAAGGGGACAGAAACTTGGGGGGGGAATGGGGTGGGGGGTTGGGGGGAGAGGCATTGTGTTTTATATTGGGTTTTTTTTCTTCTTCACTTTTTCAAGACAGGGTGTCACTATGTAGCCCTGGCTATCCTGGAACTTGTTCTGTAGACCAGGCTGGCCTTGAACTCAGAGATCCCCTGCCTCTGACTCGAGTGCTTGAATTAAAGGCGTGAGCCACCATGCCCAGCTTAGACACGTTAAAGCAGGAGAACCTGAATGTGGTGTGCACATCTTTATCCCACATGAACCGTGTATTTGTTTTAATAAATGGAATTTTCAGATTCATTTCCTATGGGGTCACTTTCATTGCAGAGACCTGTGGGCCACCTCCCGCATCAGTGTTGATTTTAAAGGGACCTGGGGAAACAGATCCGTGGTTTTCTTTAGGCGTCTGTTCATAACAGTTTTAAAAAGAGAAAACCCACCTCACCTGAAGTTCTGTATGAAAACTTCCCCCTTGGTCACTGTGCCTCATGTACAGCCATGGGAGCAAAGAAACATGGGAGGGAGGGAGAGTGCTCAGGGCTCTGAAGGCTGGACCAGAGGGAGACAGAGACACAGACACCCCAGCTGTATAGACATTTTAACTTGCGGCAGCTACACCCCAATAGTACCACCCCACACCCCCACCGCATGAAGAGTGTTATTCTCGCCTGTGATTCTAAAGCTGTCCTGGAGAAGACCGAATCTCTGAATTCTAGACTCCGCAGTCTCCTTGAAGATCTTCCCAGTCAAGAGACTTTTTTCCAGTACTGCGATTGAATCTAAGGTTGCATGACTGCTGGGAAAGCTCTCTACCATTGAGCTGCACAGAGTCTTGCTGTGTTGCTCAGACTGGCCTTGAACTTACAGTATACCCCAGGCAGTGCTCACATTTGCAATCCTCCTTACGCAATACCACCTCCTCCGACCACTGGCATTGTAGGTCTATCCCACCAGACCCTCTAAGCAAGCCTGCTGGCTGTCCCTCAGACTGTGCCGTAACAGGTGTCGCTAGTAAAGAAGGAAGAGCTGGAGCTCTCAGGATTGGTGCCAGCAGCAGCAGCAGAGGGATAAAGGAGCCACACGGTGGAGTTTGTGCATGACTGTTCCAAGGCCATCACTGTTTCTCGAATGGTGACCACTTGCCTCAGAATCAGCTGAGATGCTTTTTAAAAGGAAAGGTCCCTCCCCTCCCCACCACACACACATGAACTCGTATTCTCTGACGATGACTTAGCAACACGCATTCTTTTGCATGCTACCTGCCATCTGAATATACGGCATCGCTTGCTTTCCCCGGTGCTGAAGAAAGGCTCAGATCGCAGCATCACAGGAGAGAGCACAGACAGCAGGCAAGGACCCAGGCATCTCCTTGCCAGGAGGATGAGGGTGGGCTTTGGCTCTGTTCCTGTTTCATTCTGTCCCTCTGGGAGGATCCCTCCAGCACTCCTTCTTTAATAACCCAGTCACGTTTTAGACAGCGCTCAGAGTGACAGAGGGAATTAGAGCTGGGTCAGCTCCAATCCACAAATGGCAAATAATTTGCCAAGGGAAATCCCTTTCCCTTCGGTTCTGCCCCAAATCTACATTTTCTTCTATTTAGAATCAGGAGAGATGGTCAGATTTTGTTTCAATGAAGGAGCCATTGGGTTCCCGACCCTTCCCCAGTGAGAACCTCTACTGGAGCTGGCAAATTGCATTCCTACCCTAAGTTACAGGTTGATGGCGTCTGGCAACCTGAAGCACATTTGGTCCTCACTACAAGTCCATTGTGTGACCTGGAGAATCTGAATGAGGCCCCAGGCTCCCATGTAAGCTCCAACATCCCTAGCCTCTCCAAGCTATAAAAAACGAGGGAAGACTACTGAAAGAAGCCAAACAGAGCCCGGGTGGTGTTGCAAACCTTTAATCCCAGCACTCGGGACGCAGAGGCAGGAGGATCTCTGAGTTCAAGGCCAGCCTGGTCTACAGAGTGACTGGCAGGGCAGCCAGAGCCACACAGAGAAACCCTGTCTCAAAAAGACAAAAATAACAAAAGGAAGTGTCTAAACCAAATGAAACAAAACAGACAAAAAGGCGTCGTGAAGGAGACCGTGGTGAAGGAAGAGGCCACTACTTGCCAGCAACCCTCGAAAACAGGAACGTTAGGTAGCCTGGGCTCCTGAGACGCTTTCCTCTCTCGCCACGCTACCTGGCTCAAACCCTTAGTGCCCTGCATCTGATTTCTACCTCACCAACTGCTATGATCACTCCCACATGCTCCCGCTCTCAGCCATGGCACCAAAGTGATCTGTAATCAGCTCCCTAGGTTGCAGGAAGCAAGATCTTAGCAACTGCCTAAGAATAGAGGAGCCCAGAAGCGGTCCGCTGTTCGCGCAGCTGGCTCCCCTTGCTCAGCTGAGTTCCTGTGCGCCCCTGTCCTCCTCTGTATGTCCCTCTGCAGCATCAGGATACTGTCTGCTCCTATCCGCTCGGCAATTGCAGGAAAAAGACAACGACGGGCGCAGAAAAAAGGTGCCCGATCATGTGTCCCTGGAACATGACTTCACAACCTAGGCTGGGGGTAGGGTCGCTGTGGCCACGTGGGCCGAACTGGGATCCCGAGGAAACTGAGCTCCTTGCCAGACTGAAACGGCCAGACTCAGAATCCCATGGTGCTCTGCTTCCAGGTACTGCAGTCAGTCACAGGCATCCTCCTTCAAGGCTCTAGAGGGCCGGGCCACGCCTTGCCAATACCCCTCCTCTTCCACTTGTCCTGTGACTCCCTGCTTCCTCAACTCCTTTGCTTAGGGGCCAACCCCTTCCGGGCTGACTCTACACGTGACTAGAAAAATAGCTGATACCAAGCACACCTCCTAAACCGGGTGATGGTGGCTCACACCTTTAATCCCAGCACTCGGGAAGCAAAGGCAGCCTGATTTACAG